AGCGGGCAAACAGCTTTTTCAAGCCCTGGTATACAGTATATGCATTTAGTAGAGTTTTGGTAAAGGCTTCCAAATACAAGCAATGTATCATCAGTAGGGATGAGGTTTAGGTTTGCTGCTGTCATGTGTTCAGAGCAAATACCTATGATTTGCAAAGTTTGTACATCAAAACCTTTGGCCTAAAATCTTGCAGGTTCACCGTTAGATATAAATAACAACCTACAGTATATTATAGTGCATGACCTTTGCTCCTGGTCAGCTGGGTCTAAAGAACTAAAAATTTGGATGAATGAGTAATCTAGTCCCTTTCTATAAAAGGGTGGGCTCACAGCAACTATATTGTTAGTGTGTTTTGACCTGTTAGGGAAAATGTACAATTTTGGGTAAGTAGATACTTTTTTTTTACATGTTGGCATTGTACATGTCGTTCATGATATTAGATGGCTTCTTATGCTTTGCATTTGACAGCTTACCTAAATCTTGCATATTAATTTGCTTAAAGCAGGGGTCTCCAAAACTATGGCCCTCCAGCTGTTGAAGTCTACAAGTCCCATCATGCCTCTGCCTCTGGGAGTCTTGCATGTGGCTGACAGAGTCTTGCAGGGCCTAATGGGACTTGCAGTTCCTCAACACCTGGAGGGCCATAGTTTGAAGACCTCTGGCTTAAATTGTTACTAAACCCACAACAGTAAAATCAGTCTGTATATGCAGTAAAGCATGCTTGTTATACTCACTGTGGAACCTAAGGGGTAAATCCTCTGCATTGTGCAAAAATGCTGTTTGATCCTGACTTCTTTGATCCTTCCCTTCTTCCAGTGTCCCCTTCTTATCTCCTGATAAGACATATCATGTGGAGACACTCTGCACATGTTCACTTTGGTGTGTATTGCTAGAGAGGTTTTTTTTGGGAGAGTGCATTGTGATCAGCACAGGGCCAATCAGCACTGTCCACACAGGGGTCAGGAATTCTGATTCCTCCAAGAGCAGAAAGAAAACTCTTCTTACAAGTGTTAACCAGTGCTCTGCTGAACACTGATAGAACTCCTATGACTGCTCTAACTGCTGATGAGAAAAGGTATTTAGCAGTTTATATTTGCTAAAATAATTGCATTTCCATGTTCTGTGTACTGTGAGAGACCAGATATAGTGAATGCAGGGTCCTGGGTTTAGTAACACTTTAAGTATTACCCTAATAAGCCTAATAGCTTGCAGGCTCAGCTAATGCCCTTCCCACCATCTCCCTCATCACACAGCAGCAATGGTTGTGAAGATACTGTGGGTTTTGCAGCCAACAGCTGTCTTCTTCCCATTGAGCCCCTCCCAGCCTCCCTCTTGTGCCTGCCATCTCTCGTGAAATCTCTGGTGCTTTGCAGTAAATGGAACATCATTCCTGCTTGTATGTCACAGGCCTGTGTGGGCAGAGAGTGGGGAGAAGCCGCATAGCACAAGGAACCCTGCAGGATTGTGAAAATACAAATACAGACAGGACTGTAATGGGGGAGGGTTGCTGGACTATCAGTTTGCGTTGAATTTTTATTTTATTAGAATCCCTCCCTCTTTGTTTACTTTCAGTTGTCAGCCAAGGAGTCACTCGATCAACAGCTGAATAGAACTTGAGATGAGTCTTGGTTGCTATGACACCGGTGGCTGCCAGCTTCATAGCAACCAGTTTTGTGCAGGAAGCTTTTATATTCGTGACACTTTTGCAACACAGAATGTCCCACTCTGAGTACTTGGGTCTCTTTATAAGCCAGCTGAGAGTTGGACTTAATCAACGTCAGTTTAATCATCTTCAACTTGTTTAATTCTTTAGGAATATGACACAGGCATAGTGACAGATTCTAAGGCTCCATGTACACTGCAGCTGATAAAAACTCACGTTTAGGAGCTTTTTTTTTCCAGCAGCCCCTGAACTCTCCCTAATGTTTTCCTATGTGTCCATGTACACTATGTCGTTTACAGTCATTTACAGACCGCTGAGTTTACAGTCTTTTTTTTTTACGCACCAAACTTTCGTACAGGAGTAGATTTTATCAGCGTTTCAAACATCAAACACTTGTAAATGTATGTAAACACGGCTAACCCTGTTTATAAGCAATTGCGTTTGGAAAAATTTTTTAACTCTTCCATTTCCAGATGCTGTCCAGAGCCTTTTTTCATCCTGAAAAATGCATGCAAAGCATTTTCCCGGTACTCAAATAGACCTGGTACACCATACTTTGAGGTTTCTCATGAAATAAAATATGTTTGACACTGCTGCAATAATTTCTGCACAGAAATGAGCTGGAACACATCCAAACACCACAAAAAAAAAAAAAAAAGACAGCTAATCTCAACACATACTGCTCTCTGTGCTTCTGCTCTCTCTATTTCTCTCAAAATGTCTGAAATAGTTAATGTTTTACTGTTTTTCAGTGCATTCTGGGCATTTTGAAAGTCTCCTGAGGTTACCTTTAAAAAACGCTTCTAAACGCAAACACTCATAAATGCGCATAAACGCGGTATGCAAACGTGGCTAAACAGACGTTTTTTAACCTACGATTTCCAGCAGTCAGTTTCCATCGTTCAGAAGTGTCCCATGTACATGGAGCCTTAAAGTGCTGCTATCAAGGAACCTGAATCTTGCGCAAGAGTTGGTAAAAATTACCAAAATTGTCAAAATTCTTGAAATGAGAGCAAACCCTTTTAAAGGGGCCATACCTCCAGAAAGTTACAACAGAGGCTTTTTTTTAATTTCTTCTATTATTTTTTGTGCGGACATGTAAACTCCTTCTGATTTAAAAAGGCAACATTATACTTTCTATAATATAGTTGATTTTTTTTCTTTCCAGCTTCATACATTTTTCCATAAAAGATTGGACCTGTTTAGACTTGTGTGAGATTACAGAGACAAAATCTGACATTTATCAATCACATAGTTGCAGAGCCAGTTTTGTTGCTCTTGTTCACCTCTGTTAACATCACAAGAGAGGGCTACAGGTAGCAAAGTAATTACAAAACATAAAATAATAGGACTTTCAATTTATTTATAAACTAGTTATATTTGCAGTAAAGGAAATGTGAAACAACAACAAACAACATCGTTATCCATGAAGCGGTGTAGTTTCTTTTATTATGTGACATGCTTTTAATCCTACTCCCAATCCTAGCAAGATCTGCAACGAGATACACTGAAGAAAACCACTCTTAAACAACATTTTTTTTTCTCTTTCATTTAAGAAATGCCTTTATTACAGTTTGTTAGAATTATTTTCACTCATTTCTCCAGAGAGAAAAGAACAGTTTAAAATTGCTTACATCCTTCATAAAAGCTGAAGTAAGCTTCTTTTCCATCTTCTGTAATCTTATTATAGAAAAGTTACCAAAACTGCTGACTTGGTACTACAAACATAATTATACAATTCTAGTGTTTTTCTTTCTGCTGTTTTTATTGTACAGTGTGCCTAATTGTTTCCTCATATTTTATTTATGGTCTGAGAAACGATCTACAGGACACAGTTTTATGCACCTGTCTAATAAGTGTAATTAGGTTAACAGTGATTCACATGCTAGAGAAGTAAGTAATACAAGCTGACATGCCAAGTTCAAAAATATTTAGCCTCTTTCGTTTTACCTAGTCTATCAACCTGCAAGTTGCTGATATTGCAATCCAGACTCACGTTTGCTTTTCATGTTTGTTTCAGATTGTTCTGCAGCTATTTAAATAACTGGTTGCTCACAAAACAGAAGCAGTAGCTTAAGAACAAGGATTGCCATGGTAACATTTTGTCAGTTCATGACACCTTGGCAAATTGTGGGTTTTGTTTTTTTTTTTTTTTACAATATCAGTATAAACCATATGGGCACTTTCCTTTATTTTGTTTGTATACTAAGAAAGGAATAAGAATGGACCCAGAGCTAGCAACCTGGCCTGTCCCCTACCCCACCACAACGTTGAGGTTACAGGAAGGCCCTAAGTCAATTACTAGGGCCAGGCCAATAGATTAGAGCCTAACACTTGTATCTCAACACACGCATGGGCTTTGTATTTTACTGTTGCTGAGTGGAAATAAGAAAGATTTATAACATATATGTAAAATATTGGGCTTATTTACTGCTGATGGATATTTACAAATATCAGCCAGTTCACCGCCTTGTAATGGTTTATTGGAAGCAAATTTGACATTCAGGTTGAAAGCTAAGCATTGGGCATTGTCCCTGCCATACGGATGCCATTCAATTTACAGTTGTGCTCAAATGTTTGCATACCCTGGCAGAAATAGTGACATTTTGGCATTGATACTGAAAATATGACTGACCATGCCAAAAAAAAACTCCTGTCTTTTATTTAAGAATAGTGATTCATATAAAGCCATTTATTACGACATTGAAAACGGCAAACCCAAATACTCCTGCGCTTGGGGATGGACTCAATATAGGCTATAGCCACATATATGCCCTGGAGCGTGCATGCCTTGCTACCCTCAAAGGACCGGAGAAGTCCAAATGCACTGAATTATACAAAGAAAACAAACAGAGGGCACACCGGCCTAATGAATTACCGTATTTTTCGCAAGGGGGGAAATGTCAGTGCGTCTTATGGAGCGAATATAAAGCGGCCGGTCCGATATTTCTGCCGCCACCATGTCAGAATATCGGGCCGTCCGCTCAGCTGTTCTCTCCTGCAGGGCCTTACCTGTTCCTCGCTCCAGCGCTGCACAGTCTTCCCGTGCTGGCTTCTGTGACAGCCGGGTGCCCACTGCGCATGTGCTGCGCTTTGTGAATGATCCAGTGTCTTCTGGGACACATGACAGGTCCCAGAAGGCGCTGGGCCATTTACAAAGCGCAGCGCTTCTCGCGCATGCGCAGTGGGCACCCGGCTGTCACAGAAGAAGAGAGAAGGACAACTCCGCGGAAGTGGGAGCGGGTACCTGTCAAATTCAGGTACCCTCTTCCCCTCCCTCCCCAAAGGTCTGCAGTCTCTGGTCATCCCCTGCACTGTCTGCAGTCTCTGGTCATTCCCTGCACTGTCCGCAGTCTCTGGTCATTCCCTGCACTGTCTGCAGTCTCTGGTCATCCCCTGTACTGTCTGCAGTCTCTGGTCATTCCCTGCACTGTCTGCAGTCTCTGGTCATCCCTGTACTGTCTGCAGTCTCTGGTCATTCCCTGCACTGTCTGCAGTCTCTGGTCATCCCCTGCACTGTCTGTGGTCTCTGGTCATTCCCTGCACTGTCTGCAGTCTCTGGTCATCCCCTGCACTGTGTCCGCAGTCTCTGGTCATTCCATGCACTGTCTGCAGTCTCTGGTCATCCCCTGTACTGTGTCCGCAGTCTCTGGTCATCTCCTGCACTGTGTCCACAGTCTCTGGTCATCCCCTGTACTGTGTCTGCAGTCCATTCGCCTCTAAAACCTAGGTGCGTCTTATGGTCATGTGCGTCTTATGGAGCGAAAAATACGGTACCTTAAAAAGCATTTATTAAAAAGGAATAATAATTGGTATTGTACTCACAAATGGCAATAATGTCAAAGGTACATCATGAAAGAACAGCACTCTCCAATCCACACTACGTGACTGTCCGCAATGGGAACCCTGGACTTCTAACAGAGCCCTGAGGAAGAGGCAAGTCCTCAAAACGCTCATACCTATGAAAGGCAATCAAAACAAATAAATAAATAATGAAATGAAGTGTACATAGAAAAACTGTGAGATGTGGTCAAATCAGCAAAACAGTAACATATTGTCCATGTAAACATATAAGGATAAAGACTCCACAATCAGTGATAATGCTGTAAATCGATGCAGTAGGTGCAATATGGGTAATCTTCCTTCAGATAGTCACCAAGGTGTGTACCACCACCAAATAATTAATTGGAGGCTTACCAAAAATGGAGACCCTTTATTTATAGGGGGTCCCAATCAGCATTGTGATGTAAGACACGAGCAGACTCTCCGTGGCATACCCGGAACATGGATCTTCCAAACCTCCAAACCCAAATGTGAACTCAAATGCAGTGTCAAATAAGATCATGAAAGAAAAAACATGCCTCACAGAGTGCAATACGTATCAAAAACTCCTTTATTTGTACAAGTAAAATCCTACTTACAAGCTGTAGAACAATTAAAAGCATTCAAATAGACCGCTTCCAAGATGGCCGACAGCACGATGACGTCAGAGGGAGATTCCGCCCAATGTGTTTTATCATCAAAAGACGTCTTCTAGGGGCCCCTGACCGGAACCTGCTAACAAACTCTTGCTATGTCCAACTGCAACACATGCACTCTCCAGACCCAGAATCAGGCTCACATTGCTTGTTTAAGCTGCTGAGCCTGCAGCTGCCACCCTCTCATAGTAAATCTACTGTGATGGGATAGCAAGCAGATTTTCTGTAACTTCGTGTACAGCTTTAATGCATTCCTCAAGCATGTTATTTAAAGGAGTTGTGGCTGCATGAAAGACCCTTTCTTCACTAAATGGTATTTTTTTTATTTTATTTTTACATTTTTGAATTATCTTTATATCTCCATTGCAGTTTCCAGCTATCCATTTCTTGATATAATCATAGCTTGCAAATTGGCCTTAAAAAACGGGAAAAAAGAGCATGATTCAGCCCCCCTAGACCTCAACATATTTAGGAGCTATGACCTCATGTGAACTTCATGAAACTCAGCTTCAATTGCTGGTGCTGTAACTCAATTGTTCCAGTGCTAGGTAGGGTGCTGGCATGAATGCTTATTCAGAGAGCATTATGATTAACAACAAAGGAATGCAGCAAACTGAGCAGCTCTAAATGTATAAGATGTGAAAAGCAGTCTCAACCCCAGCTCCTCCTGATAGTCATGCCCCCCTGACACGTTTCATCTTAGCCATAGAGGTACAGTATGTAGGTAGGTAGAACTGGAATAGGAAGTGCATTCTGCTGTTACTCTGCTTTGACATTTAGTTTTGATGGGTGTGATTGATCAAGGTTCTCTTACCTCCTATCACACCATCCAGTGCTCACATAAAAGTATATGTACAGACAAAGGGTGAATTAAATGATATTGCACTATTACAGACAGATATTTCACAAGATGAAATTGCCCCCATTGTGTTTTGGGGTTAATTTATTGTAAGTAACATTTTTATAAAACTTGCTTGTGTCTGTGATGTCTTCTGTCTGAAATGTTTTGTCTGGAGCAGGGGCATCAGAGTATGTGTTGTTCGGAGTGGATAGTCCGTTTAGAACCTGTCTTATTGTTCCTTTGTGTCTCATTTAAATGTATTTTTAGTGAGGTAGGTTTGAGCGTAATACAGTGAGCAGGCTGTTCCTGGGGATCAGATGGGATACAAATATACATGTGTTTTGAAAATAGCAAAAATTCTATATCTCTGTGTCAGGAGTCAGCAGCTGTGTGATGGCCAGATATATTGTATGTAGCTACACCAAGAAACTGGGCCCAGACCGTATATATCTTTAAAGTGAGTTTTATTTACAGTGGATGTAAGATAACTATACACCAGCAAAGAAATAAACATAAGATGCATGAAATTCAGAACTAAATGCCAAGATGCAGAAACTTGAACAACTAACTAAACACACAATACATTTATATAAATGAAACATGCAAGGCAGGAAAAAACTATGGGAGCAGACAGCCAGGGAGGAAAACAAACTGGGAAAAGAGCAAGAGCATGAGCAGGTTTCATAGAAACCAGGGAAGCTTAATCATTGTGCCGACAGGGTGCTCGTGGTAAGAGCACCGGAACACCTGAGCCCCTGTGACCCACCAGAGACTGCCAAGCCTCCCGAGGCGCTAAAAAAAAAAAATTACCTGCTGTGCTGTTGGATAGGTGGGCTGTCGGCAGAGTGGAGGAGAGAGGACCAAGCGCTGGAAGCCGATCTGTGGGGAAAGGGACCTCGCTGACCTCACAGGGATACGCTGAAGTGAGGTCATGCTGGGAGGTTGTCCGGTGGCTGCCGAAAGTGGATAGAGGGATTGGATGCTACAAACAGGGTAGAGTGTATCCACCTGTCCCTGGAAAGACCCTGAACTGGAGACCCATAGAGGGTGACCCCCTGAGAAGTAGATGCAGTAACTGCCACAGTGCACCATAGTTATCTCTGGAGGAGGAATTATAACAGTGTTGGAGGTCGGAGGTTGGAGTGGACAATACGGAGGAGACACATGACAGATGGCTGTGGTTGGTGAGTCAGAAAATTAAATGGATTAAAATGTCTTAGGATCTTTCTGGGGGTCACCTGAGGGGCACAGAAAAAAAAACATACGGAGATAGTGGGACAGGAGAAGAGAAAAGAAGGAAATTGATAGATGATTATATAGACCTATTTCTGGGACTCTTTGGACAATGGTCTATGAAAAATATAGCCACAATATATATATTGTGTAGAAGTAACCTCCCTATCTTTTTGAAAATTTGCAAGGACAGTGTAAATATATTATAAACATGAAGGGTAAAACAGGGAAAGGAGGAGGTGCTAAAATGTCCCCAGCAAGTACAATCAAAAAATATATACCCTCACAGGAAAAAAACGCAGAGGGTCAAACCACCGAAAGACAACATGGGGTAAAAGGAAGAGGGGAGATGGAAATCAGTATCAGGGATTGCTCTAGGCTGAGTCAAAGTGAAGAAACAGAAGACATAAAAAGAGAGTTGGTTATTGAAAAAGGCATAGAACAAGTAAAGGAAAGCACAAATGTTTACTAAAAATGAGATGGCAGAGATGTTTCTGAAATTGGAGCAGTCCATAAAACAAGAGCTATCGGTAATACATAAAGATCTAGAGCAAATGTTGATACGGGTGGAAGAAACTGAGGAAAAACTGAATAAATACACTCAGGTAATAACCAACTTGGAAAAACAATTGGAGGGGACGCGAAAGGAGCAAAGGAAAGGGTATGGGGGGGGGGGGTAGGTAGGTTAAGACTCTGCAATATAGTAGGAGACACATTAGTCTGGAGAAGATATGGAGAAGAGAGGAGGCGAGAGGGGATGGACGAGAGGAGAGTAAGGAAAGAATGGAAGAGAGATACAGTTTGTAACTTACAATGTTAATGGATTAAAACAGCCCTGGGAAGAGATTCAGGATATTTAAGGAGCTTCATCATAGATTGTCTTCAGTGGTTTTCTTACAGGAGACACATTTGGGGAGAGAAAAAATACGTGAAATTAAATTCTAGATACTATCCATTGTGGTTCTATGCAGACTCCCCAATTAGAAGAGCTAAGGGAGTGGCAATAGGATTCACGAAAAATATAAGGTTTTTAGTTGGAGGACAGATTGGTAGATCCTGAAGGGAGATTTCTGTTTTTAAAGGGAAGATTACAAGAAATAGATTGTACATTAGCAAATATTTATTTTCCAAATAAAAAAACCGGAGATATTCTTAAAAAATACTCTGAAAAAATGAATGGATTTAAAAAAAGGTTGTTGAATAGTGGTGGGAGATTTCAATCTTTGCATGAACCCTCAGATAGATATGACGTCTCCTGTGCGGAGGGAGGAGGGTAGGTCTCTGAGAGCCTTGAAGAAAATGATATTTCAATGTCAACTTGTAGATATATGGAGAATTAAGCATACGAAGGACAGAGACTATACTTTTTACACTCATGCACACGAGATGTATTCAAGATTGGACTATGTATTGCTGGAACATCGACTTATTGAGTCTCTGGTCAAAGTAAAAATAGAAGAAATGTCTATATCGGACCACGCTCCTATTACAATGAAATTACTATGGGGAAAGGAGTTGAAGGGGGGAAAAATATGGAGGTTAAATGAGACACTTCTCCTGGATCAAAAGACAGATCAAAAAATTAAAAAAGAAACAAGGCAATTTTTTGAAGAAAATGATACAGGAGATGTGTCTGTAGCAACAGTGTGGGAGGCTCATAAGGCTTATATTAAAGGAATCATTATTGCGATCGGAGCAAAGAAGAAAAGGGAAAGAAGTGAAAAAATGAATGGGCTTCTTAGGGAACTCTCTGAACTTGAACAGACACATAAAAGTAGAGTAACAAAAGAGATTATGCAGAGGGTAATAAATAAAAGAGAAGAACTAAATAATTTTCTGGAAGAAGATAAGAGAAGAGTATTTAATAAAATGATAAGTGAGAGATATAGATGGGGAGACAGGCCAGGAAAGTATTTAATGAGGGCTCAGAGAAAAAAAAAAAATCTAGGAACTATATAGAAAAAATAAGTGAACCCAAAGGAGAATTAGTGTACTCAACTAAAGACATTGCTATGGTGTTTAAAGAATATTATAGTAATTTATATAATATTACTCCCCATAGTTCTATAAATAATGATGGGATAGAAAAAATGGTAAAAAGACGGATAGATTTAAAAAATGCAGGATTACCGAAAATAAGTGAG